AAATTCTGGAAAAATCACTCGTTTCCAGATTCTACTCGCCGTAACTTTCTTTGGAGTGGATATTTTCTAAATCCGAAAAATGCATTGTGCTCAGCTCATCAAGGCAAATCTTTCGGTATGCGGAATGTCCTTGATATCTCGATTTCAGTATTCTCAAAACTTTCTGCGGACGTTTCTTCGCAAAGGTGTGAAGCAGCGCGTATTGCCCCCAGTACATTCAGAAAGAAATTTTCGATAGTACTTCTTTTGTAGATTATGGAGCGCTGGAAAGTAGCCGCGTACTCCTTTTCAAAGGAGTTAGAAGGGCTGGTGAATTCTGGAAAAATCATGTCCTTCTAAATTTTTCTCAACGTAACTCTAAAATATGAAGCTCTCTTGCTAAGCAGATGTGATTTTCGTAACCAGCAGGTCGGATAACCCTTATGAGCATGTTTTCCAAGATGTTCAAGTAATTTCATTTTTTCTCGTTTTACGCTCTGAAGCTGGCCGATGGATTTTGGTCAAAATGTTCATGCTCTTAAATTGTAAGGAAACTTCGCTTATAGAGGTTTTCGAACACGCTCTTTACGAAAATCGTGGTCCTTGAGGATTACAGGGTCTTTTTGGTGAGATACGGTGAGGTGACTGTAACTGCATCACGAAAGTGCGTTAATTGGCCCGCACTTCTCGCGTATTTGTCAGCAACCTTGCCTGCTTGCTTTTCTCAGTCAAAGTTACTAGGAACTGCGCTACCGAATGGTGCATGAATCAGGCTCCAGTCTGTAAAAATCACCGAGTTACGAGCCTATGAAAAACACGTCCTCATGGATTTTGCCCAAAATCTAAAGATCGCATATCTCGTCGAAAGTTCCTCCGTGAGCGCTTGTATGACACTCGCATTGCGGATATTGTGTTCGCTTCGCCCAAAAACTCCCACTGTATTGAATATGGGTACTTGCATATGCTTCAGCTACTCTGAATATCAGAGCTATTTCAGTGGCTAGAACTCAAACTACTAAATCTAACACAACAAGATCCATTAAGGACGCGAAAGATTTTGATCAGCGTGTTGTACAAGCGCTCACGGTGGAACTTCGACGAGATTTGCATCTTTAGATTTTGGGCAAAATCCATGAGGACGTGTTTTTATAGGCTCGTAACTCGGTGATTTTTACAGACTGGAGCCTGATTCATGCACCATTCGGTAGCGCAGTTCCTAGTAACTTTGACTGAGAAAAGCAAGCAGGCAAGGTTGCTGACAAATACGCGAGAAGTGCGGGCCAATTAACGCACTTTCGTGATGCAGTTACAGTCACCTCACCGTATCTCACCAAAAAGACCCTGTAATCCTCAAGGACCACGATTTTCGTAAAGAGCGTGTTCGAAAACCTCTATAAGCGAAGTTTCCTTACAATTTAAGAGCATGAACATTTTGACCAAAATCCATCGGCCAGCTTCAGAGCGTAAAACGAGAAAAAATGAAATTACTTGAACATCTTGGAAAACATGCTCATAAGGGTTATCCGACCTGCTGGTTACGAAAATCACATCTGCTTAGCAAGAGAGCTTCATATTTTAGAGTTACGTTGAGAAAAATTTAGAAGGACATGATTTTTCCAGAATTCACCAGCCCTTCTAACTCCTTTGAAAAGGAGTACGCGGCTACTTTCCAGCGCTCCATAATCTACAAAAGAAGTACTATCGAAAATTTCTTTCTGAATGTACTGGGGGCAATACGCGCTGCTTCACACCTTTGCGAAGAAACGTCCGCAGAAAGTTTTGAGAATACTGAAATCGAGATATCAAGGACATTCCGCATACCGAAAGATTTGCCTTGATGAGCTGAGCACAATGCATTTTTCGGATTTAGAAAATATCCACTCCAAAGAAAGTTACGGCGAGTAGAATCTGGAAACGAGTGATTTTTCCAGAATTTACCAACGCTTTTTTCTCTTTTGAAAAGAAGCCTGCGGCAGCTTACTAGCGCACTATAATGCACAAGAAGAGCACTATCGAATGGTGCATACTGGAAGCTTTCAAGTTGGATAGGCGCTGCGTTACATACTTGCAAAGGGACCTCCTCAGAACAATTTGAGAAAACTGAAAACAAGATATAGATGACATGACGTATGTAGAAAGATTCGCCTTGACGAGATGAACACAGTGCTGCTTTCGAATTTAGAATATATTAATTCCGAAGGAAGTTATGGCGCTGCATAATTTACGATAATCCGGAATCGCGAAATTTCTGGAATTTCGCGCAATTCCCGTTCTGTGAGTGGTATTGTACATTGCACAGCACGCGCGGCATTCCGCGATATGTGCTTCTCATGCGATTTCCAACCATTTCCCTTTGTCTTCCTGCATTTTGGGACCCGTCATACTTCGCCGAGAGAAGCCCACTTTCACACATATCCATGCAGAATGAGCTGCCCACTTTCACACATATCCATGCAGAATGAGCTGCCCAGTTTCACATATATCCATGCAGAATGAGCTCTTAAACTATACCTGCCCTATTTCTGCTGTGCTCAATGGAATGTGTACGTAGCCTCTGGAATAAGCACACTGAATGGTCCATTTACACTAAAATTCCAGGAAAGAAACTTATATCCCACAACTAGGCACATCCGTATATTGGAAGATGCGCCTCGCCGAGCTGAGTTGAATGGTACTCTTATATATAGAATTCATAAATTTTGAATCAAGATAAGGTCTTTTTTTATAAAAAGTTAGGCGTTGCGCGACAAAGTTAGGTGACTTTTGCCGCTTTTCCGCCGACTTTTGTCGCGCGACGCGGCAAAAGTCACCTAACTTCGGCGGCGCCGCGTAAGTTAAGTGCCGCCGCCATTTTTTTTCGCAAATTACGGGTGGTATTGTATTATACATCTCTATCTGTCAACTTTGTTTTCAATGATTACAATACCGCTCGTGATTATTAGAAAAACGACACGAAGTCGCCCGATTCATGTGACATCAACGCAGCGCGGCCATATCTCGCATCAGAGTGGACGAATTCTCAATCTATGAGCACCATTCGACTCAGCTCGGCGGCGGCGCATCTTCTGATATATGGTAGTGCCGTTTGGATACAGAGAAGGCCAGCACGAATCGTTCCAGATTTTCGCTTACCGTAGGTTGCCCAGTTAGTGCAAAGAATAAGAACACTGAGTTACTTTAACCCATTGACGACGACGCCTATTTTGCGTGGCGGGGCTGTGAGACGACGCGAATTTGCACAACGCTTTCGGCGTGGGGAAGTTTTGTGATCATTTACGAATGTGAAGTTGTATTGTAAACAACCACAATCATCTTTTTGGACGATGAAGTCTACAGGTTCCAAGAGTGCAAGAAATTTAAGAAAATACTAAACAGTGGAAAAAGTACTAGACCTGGAAAGAACATGATTTTGCAAGGGGTGTGGGCCCCCGGTGGTCTACATCGTCCCTGGCGACTAAAAGTGCGTAGGCCATTGATGTCATGTAGGCCACCGGTGGCCTACATGACATCAATGGATTGAGCAAAAATTCGAAAAGTTTTGTGAAATCTGGCCTCCTATTGTGTCCAAGGGGGGCAATTTCTACATATCAGAAGATGCGCCGCGCCGAGCTGAGTCGAATGGTGCCCATTGGTTGAGAATTTGTCCACTCTATAGCGAGATATGGCCACGCTGCAGTGATGTCACATGAATAGGGCGACTTTGCGTCGTTTTCTATAAATACGACTATAAATACGAGCGTATTGTAGTCTCAAGTGTCACCAATTCCTCTCTCTGTAACTATGGAAACGTGACAGTTGCATGCTTCGTAAAGCAGTAATCATCACCATATTTTCAAGTCCAGACTAAAGATAACCAAGTGCTATGTGCTAGTGCCTCAAAATTTCTGAACTTCAGAGCGTTCGTTTTACAGTGCTGTAGTAGATCGAAGCTTCACATAGCAAAACGACTATTGATGTGATGAACTTTGCAAAACTTCAAGTAGTGTCCACTACTAAAGGTACATTCCGAATCGCTTGCTACGGTAGAACCACCAGTGATTTTGAAGATGCTATACTGAGCAAGTTTTGGGTATAAAGATCAAACATAGAAACGGTATGAACTCTTAATGATCAAACTTCATAAAGGAACTGTTCTCTGTAATAATCTTTGATGATCGAAGTGGTTTTTTCGACAAACCAAATAATCTTTTTGATTGTGCAGCTGCATGTCAGAGCAAGCTGTTCAGCCCATGTTTGAACATATTTGAAACAGCTATTTTTTTAAACGTTGCAGACCGTCTTTGATCTTGATTAGAGGTGACTGAATAAATAAAGGCTAAATAAAAGGAAAGAAACTTGGTTTAGAAATCAGGTAGATCCCTTCTCAGTTCACATCTATAAAGATATGTGTATGTGTATGGTGGATAAAAACTCTGTAGTTTCATTAGCAGTCAGACCTTTTGCTTCATTTGACAGATGACAGGTTAGCCCTGCGATAATTTTTGGCGCTTTGCTTATCCTCAGTAGGTGGAAGCTTTTTACCTGAAAAGATTGCTTTGTAGAATTGTAATTTGTAATCTTATGGGAATAAATCTTCAAACCTCTTCTCTACGTGAAAGCTGTTGAAACTCGGATAGCTCTAAAACTTGAACAATTTACGGTTTTGCACTGAAGTGGAGAAGGGCCGACGACGATGAAGTCCTTTTATAAAGTTCTAACTTTGAAAAGCCTTCTATTGAGAGTAGATTTCGTAATCCTGCTTGTATTTTATTGTAAAATTAATCCAAGATTCCGGATGCTTGTATTGTATTGTCAACTTAATCCAACAACAACCATCAAGAAACCGTCAAACTTTGATAAGTTTTGGATAGTATGGTAAGCGTGATAGCATGGGATAGCATAGCATAGCATAAATATCTAAAGCATGATTAAACAGTTTGGTCACTCTTTTTTTAGAAGGCCAATGTTTCTCCTTGGTCACTCAGTTGTCGAAAACCAATGTTTTTAACTCTTTTCAGCCTATTCCAGCTCTGTATTCCGGAATGAAACCTGTGATGTTGCTGCTGTCGATTGGAGGCGTATTCTGCCTCATTCCAAACGATCTCTCCTATCCCTACGATTGCTCTAAACAGGTCGGAATTTTGTTTTATCTAGACTGCTCTGTAATGTACTACAAATCATTTCTTTTAGCGCAATTCCAAGATACCGAGGAAAGGTAAAACCAGCACAACGTATAACCTAAACAATAAGTACAAAAATTTTTGATGGCAGATTCTACAATACCGCTCGTAATTCTTGAGAAAACGACGCACAGTCCTCGATTCATGTGACATCATCGGAATGTGGTCATATCTTGCTTCAGAGTGGACGAATTCCTAATGCGAAGACACCATTCGAGATTCGATATATAAAAGTTCCCGCATGAACACAGCAGGAGGCCATCTAGGAATTGTTTCAGATTTTTGCTTACGGCAGGTCGCCGGATGAGTGCACTGAATATGCACATTGAGTAACCTACAAACAAAAATCTGTAACTACTCCTCCTAAGCGTTTAAGGGGGCATATATCAGAAGTTGCGCCACGCCGAGCCGCGTCGAGTGGCGCCTTGGATTAAGAATTCATCCGCTCTGAGGCGAGATATGGCCTACGAGATGTCAAATGAATCGGGCGACTTCGCGTCTTTTCTCAAAATACGAGCGGTATTGTACATATGTACGTCGTCATGTGACCTCTACCGTCTGGTACTTCTACGACATTTCACATCCATCATTTTATAGGCACTAAGAGACATGAAAGCAATTTTTAATTGAGCGAATGCTCAACTAAAAATGTTTTTTGTAGTATAACTCATGGCAATTTCATTTAATAAGAAAAGAGGAGTAAAACATTCAAGCTTTCTAGCTAACCGATGGTTTGCTTATCAATTCTACTCGGCAATCAATTAAAACTTCATCTTGTTTTCATTGTTGTTGTTGTTGTTGTTTTGCATTCAAACTTGCACAAAAGTGTAAGAATGCTAAAAAAACTTCTAAGACTCCGGACAACTCGCCGCTATGATGCTTAGATTACAACAAGTTATAGTAGCCTACTGTCAATTTATGTCAGATTGCGAACCAAGAGAAGACTACCTTGGAGGACGTTTTGGCCAGAGCTTCTCTACAGGCCGTTGGAGCCTATTCTCAAATTGTACAGGTAATTTCGAGTAAATAGGGCAGCCTTTAAATGACTGAAACTTTCAATTTCCTCTATACCTCATCGATTACATCAGAAATTCTCACAATCACTTGCTAATCTCAAAACCGCCATCGAGGAATGGGCCATAACTTACGGACTCGAGGTACAAAGTCTACACACGAAGGCTCTGATAGATGTCTGACACTTTTTTACATTGGCCACCTTTTTCTAGCAAGAGTACCGAAAAATCGCTAACGAGTCTGAGAGAGAAAATGCTGACTATAGAACAGCGGTCAAGGAGCTGTATCCTATTCTCACGGAGTTCCTCGGTAATCACATGAAAGTTGGAAACGGCAAGGTATTTTTGAGTAAAGCTGAGCAGCGTTTGATCGCACATCATCCTCCGTTTGCAGAAACGGTCATTGATGCTTGCTTTCAAAAGAACTTTAGCGCTACCACACAGGTTCGACACCAGCCAGCAATCAATTTTCGAAAGAGTAATCAAATCTTATAATCCATCACTGGCTTCCAGCAATGCAGGTAAGTTCCTGATCTGCGATAGAGCCACCAAAATATTTATTTGAGGGAACTATGGAAGTTATGCAGGCAGCTTCATAAGCTTTCCGGGGAACAGCGGCGATTACAATAGAGTACCTGGTGCACTTGGCAGACAAGACTATCCAGGTATGGAACCCACAGAATACGGAGGATACTTTACCGGATATCAAGGAATTGGCGCTAAATACACGGACGCTAAAGGATACCCAAACAATAATGACCTATTGCCAAGAGTTAATGACGATTATAGCAATCAGTGGCTCTTTTGAGTGGTTGAAAATTTTATATGATTTTTTTTGTTAAAAAAAACTTTTCAGTATAATGCATGTAGCTTCAGCAATTTCCATGAATAAAGGTACATATTAGAATGTTATCGAGATACATGCTGGTTCACTAGTGTTCGAAATATGACTGCAGAACACTTCTCAAAGGAAATGGATACTTGTCGAAATGGAGCTTTCATATAAACTGTATACTGTCTTATAGAGCATGGAACACTGATCCTAAATCCGTCCTCTCTGCAATGGGAAAGGAGTCATGGGTATTTTCTGGAGCGAAAATTCGAACGCACGGCCACAATTACATCATTCAAAACTGAAGCCTGTAGTTCAAAGGGCCATGGTTACTTCCAGGGCGCTTTATACAGTTATACCATCAGCCTGATAAACTTATACTGGTCGCATTCCTTTCAAGCGCCAAAAAGACCTCAACACCTGTTTTACCTCATTAAAACCCTCGAATTTCTGTCTCCTAAAATATTCCCATAACTTCCCTCACAGAAGAGCTTTGCAGGTACCGAAAGCCGATTCGGAATCAGCGTTCCACACTCTACTACAATTCAACCAGGTATCCTTCCTTTGTCAGTATTGACATTTGATATATACAGGACGTCTCAAAAGTATGTATACACTGTTTAATCGTTGATCTCTGTCTTCCATAGAAGTCTTTTGCCAGCCTTAATATACCATTTTGTTCAGCTATTAGTATGGAGCGAATCAACGATCTTTGTTTATTACTGTAGGATTACGGTAGGTTCAGGAAGGGTTGTGAGCCCTTGAAGGTGTCAGGATAAAGGCGTCGACTTCCTTTACCTGTAGCGGGGTTTACATTAGTATTACTATAATCTTTATGATACAAATTATATACAGAAAGGAAAAGGAAAGGGGGGAAGAGGGAACCGTCTCCTGACGGCGGGCGGAGGTCACTTCCAGAGGTTCGTTATCTTAGGCCAACCTCCATCGCGAGCAGCTGTTGGGTAATAGCTGCGTCCCGACATCTCCATTCCTTCAGAAAGCTCGTCCTCGAGCTGGTTTAGCTGTTGTTGAATGTCTTCCGAGTAAGTGTATAAGGAGTACACGTGATACGGCGAAACCATGAAGAACTTCGACTTTGGTACCATTATCCTCAGATTCATCGATCGAGTGGGGAATTTGGTTTAGGCGAGCTGGATAACCAACCAACGACCTTCACCTCATCCTGGAGGTACTGAGTAAGCTTGTCCTCAAGCTGAGAGATATAGAAAAATGAAGGATGTGGCGTTGGGGACTGTTTGGAATTGGCAGTGACATGTAGTTGCATGGGTGATAAGTCATGCTTTCGGAGACTGACGGATGGAATTACTTTTAGATGGAGATTCTGCAAGTGTGATGACGTGACTAGTTTTTGAAGAGTAGTAGGTGGAAATCGGGTGAGGGAAACGATGGAAATTGGGTGAGGATACGACTTTTGTTGTAGAACACGATAATAAAAACAGCTTGGCGAGCGAAAAATACGTAGTTAACAAAGTATTAGATGGTACTGAATGATAGCAATTCTGAAGTTATATTTTACATAAGTAGTTAAACGACATGTGAAATTTTGGGACTGTAATAATAGTACACTGAATTTGAATTAAGTGACACATAATTGTACAATATATAAATAAATGCCATTGTTTACATAACCAAGAGGAAGATATGCTCAATTAAGCACAACAAACTGTGTTTAATTCAACATGTTGGCAAATTTTGAGTGTTAGAAAAATGGGGATTTTTTTTTCGCTGCTTAATACGAAATATTTTTTTCATTCTTTGAATTGCCGATTCAAAGAATTTCATGCTTATAGGTAAACGCAGCGGTGCGGCAAAATATTTGTAAACAAACGCACATCGGAAAAATCTTGCGAGTGCAAAAAGAAACGCTGTCAATCAGTTTTTTTTTGAACTGATTGCGTTGAAAAATTGTCTTATGGTTTTGCAACTGATTTCAAGACTACCATCATGAGTAAAAAAACATGATATCGTTTATCTTCTGATGTTTCCTTTTTTTTCGAAATTAGGTTTGGAAAACATTAACCGATAACCGACATTTACAAAACGGAAATGCACATCGAACTATACAGCTTGAAAAAACACAACAATCGTGTCAGCATAGAAATTCACTACCAGAACGCTTCCGCTGCAAAAACTACAATATGTAGCTTATGGGTTATAAGTATGAAAACTTCAGCGGAAATGATCCCAACATCATGTGTGTTAATTCACTACTAACATGCAATGTGTAAGGCTGTCTATGTTTCTTCAACGTCCAAATCCAATATAGAAATATAGAGTGATAGTTCCTGAATTCTGCTGAAATCTGTAAAGGAATCATTACCGTTCTTTTCTAGGAGAAAAAATGAGGACTGGGTGACGTAGAGCGTTCTAAATCATTTCGAATAACGAATATCAGACTGAAACAAAAAAACCATGCCTTCATTGCTTATTGTCAGCTTCGGCTAAACATTTTTCAGAAAAAAATGCGGTCATTGCTTCTAAGCAAAACATCTATCTGGATATCCCCATATGTTCAAAAGCCGTTTTGATTGCAAAAGAATTGTCCTCTGAAAACAATCTTCACTCAGCTACAAGCAATATCCTTTGAAAATACTGCGCTGTAGTTCTACGTTTCTTCAACGTAATGCAGAGTTAGTTTGTGCAACTGCACAAAACTGGAGGAACTGCTATTTCCATTGTTCTACCAATATTATGTCCCTTATTTCGAATCTAAGTCATGAGCGCGGTTTTCAAAAAAACTATTGCAGTCGATACGTGTTTTACAACCAATTTGCGAGCGTCTTTATTTGGTGTGTATTCCGTTAGCAGGATATACTTCAAAAGAGCTTAGGTAATGAGCCAATTTAAATTACATACAGAAAGCTTTTTGTGCTTTTTTGGGTAGTTGAATTCAAGGGTCAGTCCAAACAATGAGTGCATTTTGTAGAAGAATTTGTTTTTTTTCCAGACTTGTACACAATCGGCAGAAAAAAAAATACGTCATGGAAACAATTCCGAATCTCTCAAAAATGCTCATCCAAGAACATGACCTAAAAACACTTTCTATGAGTTGACATGTAGAAATTGAAGCTTGGCCGAGCTATTTGTTTCTGTCATTGAACTCAAGCGTAGCTAAAGCTCTAATAGTGATTTCGAGCTTCATTATGCTATTGATCACACACTCCAAGAGTAATATCTGCAAAAAGGTGTGAATTCATAAACTGGTATGGACTGATGGTTTGTTTGAGATGTAAAATGAGGTGAATTTGAACTGAGCTTTTAAAGTGAAAATGCTCAAAAATCAATTATTTTGACAATGACACTCGCTTAAAATTTTTTTTGGTTAAATTATTAGCCTTGGAATTTTCAGATAATTCATACTGTAAGGCATCTGAAAGTGTTATTTGTAATAAGTTTGTTCTTGTTTTAGTGGGCTAATTTCACTTATCGCTTCATCCTCAAAAAAAAATTTTTATTTCACAATGTTGAAAAAATGTTAAAAGTTTAGGGATCGGTTCTTTACTCCAGAGGTCTTTTTTTATGTGCGACCGCTGTCAAGTGTTCTTTAGAGTTACGAATGCTCTAGCAAAAGAATGATGTTGAAGAAAATTCCGAGAGTAGTTTATAATTTGAAAAAAAAATTTGTGGCTCCTACGAAGAGGACCTAATCCAACTTAAGATTTCCACTGTCGTAAATTGTTTGTGAGATTCAGTGTCTATAGGCGAGAATTCTTTCTGATCAAAATAATTCATGTAATTGGTGAAAATTTGTGAAAATTGCAATGAAGGGACTTTGCTTTTCTCTGAGTAATTCAGTATGATATTTTCAGGTGGATTAAATAAAGAATTGAGTAAATGTTTGATTTTTCATTTTGAAGGTGCTAGATGTGAAGTTTGGACACTTCAAATGATTTGATGATCGATTCGTTCACAATATCTTCAGAAAAACCTTTTTTTTGGTTTATTTTTAAATATGCTGAGAGCTTTCTTCTTCACAAGAAAATCGATCCGCTTAAACATTAGAATAAATGTCCAGCTGGAGTTTAACAAAGAATCCCGTGTAGGAATAGGATTTGATTTCTGAGTTTGAAGTGGTGTTTTCGTATTGCGGAAAATTTGGTGTGATAAATTAATACCTTGTCATCTGGTATGACATGATCAAACCTGCAAAAAAAAATTTTTTTGGATAAATTCGTGTGGTAATGAGTCTAGAATACTAGCAATAAGAAGTATGGATGTAATGGTCCACCTTTTTTCCTTCACACAAGCCATAAAGAATTCCAATTTTGCAAGAAAACCTGATTTCGTTTGTAGTTTCAAAATTGTCAGCGAAAATGTTCTCTGAAAACATTTCTGCTTCATGTTTCTACTGTGTGAACATATTGAATGTTAGCTGTATGATCTAGAAAACAAAAATAAAAAGGCCTTGTCCTGCTCTCCGCACATATAAGCGAAGAATAACGCCATATACACATTTTTATTAATAATTGCATAGCCGCATTGACTGAAATTGAAAAGTTAGTTCAAATTGGAATCAGAGCTATCTTCATTGAGAAAGAAAAAACTTCTTGCAATGCGTATTGAAGGATGTCCGGTATTAAAAGAAAGTTCGAAACATGTTCCCAAGTGCGAGTAGTAGGAGCAAAAAAATGAGGACTATAACGTATACAAATACGTTGTAGATTACTTCTGAAATTTAGAGTTTGAAGATTTTTTTTCTTAGTTTCCTACCTGCCGAGAGAAAGGTGAATTTCAAAAAAATTTTTTTTTGTAATTCTAAGGTTTATTTTCGAGCTGAAGAACTATATTAGAATTTCTTCTATGGATTGTAGGAAAATTGTTACAGCAGAAGGATGTGATAACAAGGTATTCCCGACTTCGGAGTTTTAGTTAGAAGCTGTTTTGAAGATTTCCAACTCGACTGAAATATTATCTTTCAGTACCGAAATCAAAGTCTCAAACAAAGGATCAGTAAA